CAAGAGTGCTTCTGGAAGTTTCATTACGAAGGCATAATTGATAAAATTGTTGGCTGCAGATTGAGCTCCCGTTTCAGTCCCACTTCATTCCCAGAGACCCAGGGGAAGCTGATAGTTCCAGATCATTCTGGTAACCAGACCCCATCCTGAGGCTGGCTAGGTCCCTCTACCAAGAGTTACCATATTAAGATAAACACAGAAAAGATGGAAAAGGGGTTTATCATGAAAAAAAAAAAACTTTGTATTTCTCTGGCTGTCGCCACATGTTCATTTCTTTCAGATGATTTAAAATATATTACAGGGCCTCCCTGGTGGCACAAGGGGTTAAGACACAACCTATGAAGCTATCCACAGCCACTGCAGCACTGGTTCCATCCCTGGCCAGGGAACTACCCACATGGCACAGCAGACCTCTCTGACTCGCCCGCTGCTCCCCTCAGCAGTGTATTTCAGTCAGTCTGCCTGTTCTGTTCCTCACTCTGTCTCTGGTGAATCCTCTCACCCCCTTGCAGCCATGGTTTATACCTCAGTTCTTATATGTATAAATAAATAAATAAATAAATAAATCTTTAAAAAATATAATACAACCAATATAGTTAATATAATTAGTATAATATGTGATAAGCATCTCTATAGCTATTGGAAAAAGAGTCCATCAAGTTCAACTGCATTTGCAATTTAGAATGATTCAGTCAGGGCCTCCCTGGTGTTTCAGGGGTTAAAGTCTCAGGGCTTTGAACCTACCAATCCCCTGCCAGCCAGGGAGCTAACCCACATGGCACAGCAGACCTCTCCTGTCTCTCCCACTGCTCCCCTCAGCAGTGTATTTCAGTCGATCTGCCTGTTCTGTTCCCCACTCTGTCTCTGGTGAATCCTCTTATTCCCCATACCTCTGGCCTGTACCCCAGTTCTTGCATGTATAAATAAATAAATCTTTAAAAAAAAATAAAAGCAGTCCCAGGGCCAGCCCTCATTCAGGCAAAATCTACATAGGGCATGACCATTCCCCAGAGGCTGGTAGGGAAATGTGAATGGGGCAGGGACAAGTGGCTAAGAAGTGGACTCTGATAGAGGCATTCCTCTTGAGAGCCTTCAACCAAACACAAAGGCTAAGGATGTTAGTCCCTGTCTGTAAAGTGAGTGCTCTATTTGGCTGAGTGCTAGTGTGACATCGGGCATGTTTGCCTGGACCTGAGGTAACTGCAAGGCCCAGCATCCCCCTCAACATCCAAGTGGCTTCTGGAACCTCAGTTTTCTCATCTATAAAGGTGGGAAGATAAAGGAAACACCTACTCTGTAGGTATGGATGAGGTGAAATTTGCAAAGTGTTTGGAATGGTGGCATATAGTAACACAGGCGAATATAAGGGCTTGTAAAATGATCTGTAATATTTTTTAATTGAGTTTGAGGTTTTATGTGAGGTTCAAGTTCATGACCAGGTCCTAGTGCTTTCCTCTTCCTAGCTTGTCATTCACCCCTTGGCCTGGATCTTAGGACCTGGAGGTCCAAGGAACTACCTGACCTTTTTCCCTTGAGGCTGGAGAAATCATTTTTGGCTCTAGACCCTGGGTAAAGAGTGGCCTCCAGGGTGTCACACTTCTAGACTTCAAACTATACTACAAAGCCATGATAATAAAAACTGCATGGTATTAGAACAAGAACAGACACACAGACCAATGGAACCAAATAGAAAACCCAGAAATAAACCCACAAATTTAAGGTCAACTAATCTTTGACAAAGGAGCAAAGAATATGCAATGGAGTAAAGACAGTTTGTTCAATAAATGGTGCTGGGAAAACTGGGGTTCTACATGCAGAAGAATGAAACTTGACTACTACCTCACACCATGCACAAAAACAAATTTAAAATGCATTGAAGAACTAGACATAAGAACTGAAACCATAAAATATATAGAAGAAAATATAGGCGAAACGCTACATGACATAGACCTCAGTAACATCTTTAAAGACACATCACTCAAAGCAAAAATAGTGAAGGAAAGGATAAACAGCTGGGACTGCATCAAATTAAAGAGCGTCTGTACAGCAAATGAGACATGAACCAAAACAAAGAGACACCCCACTCATTGGGAGAAAATTTTTTCACACAAAGCTAATGATAAGGGACTGATCACAAAAATCTACAAAGAGCTGAGGAGACTCACCAAAAACAAAGTAAATAACCCAGTCAAAAAATGGGCAGAGGAGCTAAAAAGAAGCTTCTCCAAAGAGGAAATGCAAATGGTTAACAAACATATGAAAAATGTTCAACATCACTTGTAGTCAGGGAAATGCAAATCAAAACTACCATGAGATACCATCTTACACCAGTGAGAATGGCACATATTAAAAAAACTAGCAACAACAAATGTTGGCGAGGATGTGGAGAAAAAGGAACTCTCCTGCAATGCTGGTGGGAGTGCAAACTGGTGCAACCACTGTGGAAAGCTGTGTGGAGGTTCCTCAGTCTGCTAAACATGGAGCTTCCACATGATCCAGCAATTTCACTCGTAGGTATCTACCCAAAGGACACAAAAACATTAATCCAACAGGACACCTATACTCCTATGTTTGTTGCAGCACTATTTACTATAGATCAGCTATGGAAACAACCCAAATGCCCCAAAATACATGACTGGATCAAGAAGATGTGGTATATATTCACCATGGAATATTACTCAGGATTCAGAAAGATAAATTCATGCCATTTGCAGCAACATGGATGGAGCTGGAAGGGATCATGCTCAGTGAAATAAGTCAAAAAGAAAAAGAAAAATATCGATGGTCTCACTTATAGGAGGAATGTAGAAGATCAAAATAAGGGATCAGGAAAAAAAAGTAATTATAATAAAGTAAAAATCAAAACCAACAGGCAACTATAAACCAGAGGCATTCTGCAGGGGGGGAGAAGGGTGTAGGAGCAAAACAAGGGTGGGAAGAGCCCAAGGGACTATGGTGATGGTACATGGGTGAATGGGTGGTGGGAATTTCATGTGGACTATAATTGAGATGAAAATGCATACACTGTAAAAAAATGAAAAATTATGTAAAAAATATATCAAATAAAATAATATTTTAAAAAATAAAGAGTGAGGGCCTCCCCGGTGGCACAGCGGTTGAGCGCTGGGTTGCGAAGCTGCCCGCGGCCTCTGCGGCGCCGGTTCGATCGCCGGCTGCTCCCCGGCCACCGGAGGAGGGTCCCGCATGGTGCGCAGACCTCTCCTGCCGCCCGCTGCTCCCCTCAGCAGCGTACTTCGGTCCTTCTGCCTGCTCTGCTCCCCGCTCTGGCTCTGGTGAATTCTCTCGCCCTCCCGCGCTTCTGACTGTACCCAGTGCATGTATAAACAAAACAAACAAACAAACAAACAAACAAACAAATAAATAAATAAATAAACATGCCTCTATAAAAAAATAGTGGCCTCCAGAAGATCTGGATGCCCAAATGTTGTTGGGTAGTGTAAAGAATCATCTCTTGGGGCTCACTCAATTTTTTACTCCCTCACTAAGCTCTCCTGTCAGTCAGGCAGCTGAGCTTTCTAAAGAGCTGGGAATTAAAAAAAAAAGGGGGGCCTCCCTGGTGGCGCAAGGGGTTAAGCACAGCACTGTGAGGCTGTCCGCAGCCTCTGCAGCATGAGTTCGATCCCCGGCTGGCCAGGGAGCCACCCACATGGCACAGCAGACCTCTCCTGTCTCGCCCACTGCTCCCCTCCGCAGTATATTTCAGTCAGTCTGCCTGTTCTGCTCCCCACTCTGTCTCTGGTGAATCCTCTCATCCCCCGCACCTCTGCCCTGTACCCCAGTTCTTGTATGCATAAATAAATAAATCTTAAAAAAAAGAGAGAGAAAGAGAGACCTGGGAGTAACTGGAAAGGAATCAGGTAATGCTGAGAGGCTCTCTACTAGCTTTGCTCATAGCCACCTGCCTAAAATCCACCAAGGACTGGGACCACCTGATACCCAAGGCAGTATAGGATTGTGGGATTCAAGAGGCCCTGAACACTTCATATCTGATTGTTCTGTAAGGGAAGCCAGCCCATCCCAAAGCCACCGTAGCTGGGATAGACACTGGGGTCTGCTGTGGGGGCTTCCAGAGACCCACAGATTGGGCTTGGAGTACTCTGCATTCCAGGGCTGGAAAAACCTGATAGTGAGGTGTTTTGTGTGTGTGTGTGGTGGAGTGACCCTGCTCACTGCCACCTGGAGAGAAGATGCTAGCAACAAGGGCAGCCCCTTGATGACACATCCGCCACCGCAGACAGATGCCAACCTCCCTCCACACCAACAGGACACAACTAAGCACGGTATCCTCCTGAATTTAGAGTGCCCCAAGAAGAGGAAGAGAATAGCTTCTATTCCCTAATAGCTGAAGAGGGCCAGGGGCTGAGTGAGGCGGAGTCTGGGAGGGGGTCTGCTGCACAGCAGGGTCCCGTCTGGCCTCCTTTGTTAGCATACAGAGAGACCCAGACATAAGATCCTGTTGCTGGTTTCTGGGAGGTTTGGGCTGCTCATGTTCCATAGGTTGAATTCCCAGGGAAGGCTCCTTGCCCATCCCCAGCACCACAGACAGCAGCTGGGGATGATGTATGATGGAGGCTTCCTAGCAGAGGCAGAAGGGTTGATTGCTCTGTGCCCTTGATGCATGTACTCCTGGAAGCCCCCAAGCTTCCCAGATGACCCAGCAGGAACAAGGCCAGGAGCCCTGTGGGAGGGAGGGAGAGACACCATGGCTGTCAGGAGAGCCTGAAACTTACACTGGTGGCCTGGAGCATAAAGGGCATCATTTCCCAGAAAGAACCCTTATTCTCAGACCAGTGACTCCATGTCCAGGGGTGCATAAGCTGAGGCCTGGGAATGGGGTCTTTTGCCACCCCCCAGACTGGGCCCTCAGCCCCCAGTTCTCCTCCTCTAGTTCCACTGACCCAGAAGGGTTAAGCAGAGGATGCTGAATTGGCATGGGTTGCTTGGATGCCCACCCACAGACACAAGCCCAAGCAGACAGGAGACACCACTTTATTAGGCAGCAAGATGGTGCTCTGGTGCAGCCAAGACAGTCAGGCTCAAGGGTTTGGCCAGAGGAGGGTGAAGGTGCCACGGCTGCAGCAGAAATCTGGCTCTGGCTGTTCTGGCCTGGGCTCCACGGAGACCAAGCGCCGGGTCCCTCGCTGACTCAGTGGGATGCAATCGGAGACACGGACCTCCAGCTTCCGGCCCTCCCTGAAACAAAGAGGGTAGGATCGAGGCGGGCAAGTTCTGAGACCTGCAGCCACCCACACCTGGGACTCACCGGTGGAACTCACCCCTGGCAATGTGCCGCCAGTACGCCCACCAGCTCCCCAACGCGGTTGTCCAGTGGCGGCTGGGAGCGGTGCAGACACACCACGAGGTCATCCTGTCCCTGGGCGTGCAGCACTACCAGCTGGTCCCGCCCGCTGGTCACACTCAGTCCAGTTACCTGAGGGGGCAGCGCTCAGGGTCAGAGGTGGCTGGCCTTCTTTCCCGACCCTGCACCCTGCTAACAGTTGGCCCCAGGCCATCCCCCCAGGGCATCAACTCTGGCCAGCACCCAGCCCTCTCCAGGAAGCTTCAGAGTTAGAGTTCTTCAAGGGAGCCCACCCTCACCAGCTTTCCACTGTCCAGTTTTTCTTCCTCTTTGGCCCTGCCCACAAAAGGGAAGTTTGCACGAGGTTGGTCATAATGGATTTTTCTGCCTTGGTGGGATGTTCTAGATCTGTATTAATAGGGCAGCCACTACTCAGCTGTGTTTCTGGAGAATTTGAATGTGCTGTTGCTATTGAGGAGCTGAACTTTTAGTTTTCTTTTCATTACCTTTAAATAGTCACATTGGTCATGTGGTACCAAATGGAGCCACACACAGTTATGGGGACCCTAACCTCTATGCCTACCCCAAGATGCTCCTGGCCCTGTGGGAACAGGACCTGTTCCCAGGGAGATAGTGGCTCACAGAGCTAGCCAGAGGGGTGAGTGCAATGGGGACTGGATCTCATTGGTGGCAACTGCATGCTGCAGGAGGTCCATGGCACATCTCAGTGGGGAGGCCCCAAGTGGGCACAGATGTAGGGAAGAGTGGCCATTGGGTAGACCAGAAAGTAGAAGTGAAGAAGATGAGGGAACTGTGCTGGGCAGGGATCAGAACCACACCATGGACAACAGGTCTCTGCCATCCTGAACTGCTGCAGAGTTCTAGAAAGCTCTTCATTACCCTAAGCAGGTAGGAGGGAGGGGTGTTAGGCTGGGCTTTCATCCCAAGGGCCAGCCAGTGCCCAGTGGGTCCAGCGGGCCAGCTGGAGCCCTACAGATGCCAGCATGCTTCCAACACCCACAGGACTCACCGCTTCAAGGGGCACTGCCCGCATCACCCGGTACTGACGGCCTGGCTCCAGCTTATAGAGGTGCCGGTCTGTGAGCAGGAGTGCCCGGTCTCGTCTCTTGTTGAAGCGATTCACCTGCAGGACAGGTGTTTTGGGAGTCAACTTCCCAAGCTCAGTGGGTCCCAGACAGTTATGACCCCCGGTCTCTTCTCCCTGGGCCTGTTTTCTCGTTGGCTGGGTTTCTCACTGACCATTTCTGAATTTCAGGAGCAGCCATGAAATCTCTGGCTGGGTCTGGGCTGAAAGACCCTGTGACCTCCATGCCCTTTCTCACCTTCCGGACATGGCTGGAAAAGAGCACGGCCCTGAAGCCATCCTTGTCCTTGAGAGTCTTCAGTCGCTGAGCAAACAGAGCTGAGGCTGTGGGGTTGTCAGTGGCCTGAGGACAGATGGGGGGTTTCATGGGATGATAACCTAGGGCCAAGCTCAATTTATGGCAACTCTTGTTGAATAGGCATAGCTGTCCATGGAAAACCAAGTCAGATCATGAGTATGATTCCGAAGAATCCACCTACCACAGTGGATTCCCTGAGGGGTCAAGTTCAGATCCTTGCAGCCTACAAAGTTCTAGGCATGTATGTCTCTGCTCCCCATATTCACCCCATGGCTAACAGCAAGTGGTGCTGTTGAGGGTCTGAACAGACTTGGAGAAGGCACGGCCTGAGCAAGACATGGCTCTCCACAAAAGCCTACCACCTGGGCAAAGCCTGCAGCTCCTCCTGAGTCTTCATCCTTTGGAATTGGGCTGGGTACCACTCATAGTACCCTTGTGAGGGTCAAAGAGAGTGATGGTGTGGGGTGCTGACTGGGGGGTCTGTTTCAGAGAATATGGAGGCTATGCCTGAGAACACAGGGCCTATACCTAGGAACCTTCCAAACCTCCTTGTTCAAGAGTGCTTCTGGAAGTTTCATTACATAGGCATAATTAATAAAATTGTTGGCCAAAGATTGAACTCCCACTCCAGCCCCTCTTCATTCCTGGAGGCCAAGGTGGGGAACTGATAGTTCCAGATCTTTCTGGTCACCAGACCCCATCCTGAAGCTGGCTAGGTCCCTCTTTCCAGATTTACCACATTAATGTAAACACAAGGAAGATATGCCTGAAAACAGTGACACTTATCTGAGAATATGGCTCTGTGTCTGAGAAAGATTAGGGTTCTTGGGCCTCCCTGGTGGCTCAAGAGGTTAAGCCTTAGCACTATGAGGCTATCCGTAGCCATTGCAGCATGAGTTCAATCTCCGGCCAGAGAAGTGACCTACATGGCGCGGCAGACCTCTCCTGACTCGCCCACTGCTCCCCTCAGCAGTATATTTCAGTCAATCTGCCTGTTCTGTTCCCCACTCTGTCTCTGGTGAATCCTCTCAACCCCTGCACCTCTGGCCTGCACCCAGCTCTGGTATGCGTAAATAAATAAATAATTCTTTAAAAAATATTAGGGGACTTGTGCCTGAGAAGATGGAAAGGGGATGGAAGTAAGAGGTGTTCGGCAAAGCCCAGGTGAGAAGGGTCAGGATAGAAAGTCTTAAACTTCAGAGGAAAAGGGCGGAGACGGAGGGGCACAGTGCGCTGGACAGACAACCAGGCCCAGGGAGAGGATAGCTGAGGTGGGCACAGAGGAAGTGACAGTCTTGGGCCCCGCCACGGAGTCCAGATCCAGCAGCCCAACAGCACTCACGGAAGACAAGTAGTCTCGTGTCCAGGCCCGCCGGCACCCCCATTCCTGCCGTAGCTCCTGCAGGGCCCCCATTGCAGCCACCTTGGCCTTGATCTGGGCCATGTCTGAAGGGGGGATGTTCTTCACCAGCTGCCGGGCCCGCCACCTGGAGAGGGAGGGGCAGTCAGATGGACCCCTGTGCACACTCCCCTGGTCTGTCTCACACCCTACTTCTGTCCTCCCAAAACTTTAATGTCCTCTCACAGTCCTTATTCCCAGCTGCCAAGAAAAGGCCAACCTTCTTAGTTGGGCCTGGCCACACTCCATGTTCCAAATTCCCTGGTCTCTATGAAAGATGCCCTCTGACTCTGAGCACACTCGCAGTTCAGCGCTCCTCCTCTTTGAGAACTCCTACTCAGCCTTCAAGACCCTTCTCAGATGCAGTCTTCCTCATTCCCAGTCCAGCCTGCCATTTTCCCCTGTGACTGCTAATGAGGAGAGCCAGGCTTGTGACCCCGCCCCCACGCCCCAGTACAGCACTTTGCTGCTAATGTTTCCCTACTTATCAAATGGGGTTTGTGTATCTCCTAGCTGGTGCCTGGGGTTTTAGATCCAAGCATTCAGTCAGCACTAGCTGAATGGGAAAGAGCAAGGTGTGGGGTGTCCAAGGGTAGTACCTGGAGAAGAGTGTGTGGCAGGTGTCCTGGAAAGGCTGCAGCACAGGGGGGGCTGGTGGCCAGACCAGGTCACGGCCATAAAGTGGGGGCTGCCGTGCCGCCTGGAATCGCCGTTGCAGCTCAGCTAGGTGAGCGCGCACCTTGTGCCTCCGGAACCAGCGCATGATAGTGTAGATGGCCCGCAGCTTCCGGCAGCGCCACCTTGCAAGTGTGCCCCGCCATGCCTAGGGGTTCAACCAGAGGTGGACTCTCTGTCAGGCTCAGCCAGACATGACCTCTTGCCCAACCCTGTGGTACCTACTCTCCCATCTTTCCTGAAAATGCCCTGCTTCTCTCCAAAAAAGCCTACCTCCTCCATCTACAGCCTCCATCTGCTAGGCACAGCTAACCTGCCCTCTGGCTCCAAAAGCCACTTCCACCTGGCTGGAACTTGGTTCCCTGGTCAGCATGTGGCTATGCCTGTGTCTCTGCCTGACTATTGGGAAAGTATGAGACCCATATTGCTGTATGAGACCCATATTGCTAGGGACACCGGCTGTTCCCAGGGAGAAAGCATGTGAAAAGAGAGCTAGGGAGCAGATGGAGGTATTTTCCCACCTCAAGGGGCACCTGCCAAATGTCCACATGGAAACTGACCTGGTCTTGTCTCATCTCCAAATACTAGAAGACCCGAGGAGGGAGGTACCCCCCCCCCCCGCAGTGCAACTATCAAAATCCAGATGATAACCTCACAAGGCAGGCCAGCCCAGCACACCCACAAGCTAAAACAGACTGAAATCACACAGCACTGACTGAAGTGCATGGTCTGATGTGAAGACACCTGGGGATATGTGGGCACTGGCTGGACATGGCTCAGCAGAAACAAATCAGTGTGAACTTTCTAAATTCCATTTCTGTGATAATATCATTGTGTCCTATTCTTATAAATGAGAAAATATAAGTAATCACTAAGTGCAGTATATCATTACTGATTGAGTCTGGGATTGCAAAAGATGTCACAGTAATAGTAGGACGCTTGTGGAAATCTAACTATGCCCCACATATTAGATATTCAGATGTTAATATATACAATAAAATATGCATCAGATATATTTTATTCAGTATTAGATTTCTTGAATGTACTGATGTGAATCTGGTTATATAAGAGAATGTATTTGTTCTTAGGCTATGCCTATTGAAATATTTAGGGGTGCCATTACTTTATATTGTCCAGAAAAAAATCAATACTCACATTTAGTGTATCTGAATAGAGTGAATTCAAGAGAGATAAAGACAGAGGCAGGGTGAAGGGAGGACACATTTGCAACCATGCAGGTGGGTCATCGTTGTAGGATCTTTCAAACGTTAGGTTTGAAATGTTAAAAGTAAAGTTATGGGGAAGAAAGAAGACTTATTGTTAGGAAATATATACTGAAATGATTATATGTGATGATTTGCTCCAAAATAATTGGGGTAGAGGTGCAAGCATCTATATAGAACCATACTAGCCGTGAGGTGACACAGTTTGTGATGGGCAGTGTGGGTTTTAGTATACCTTTCCATTTAATTTGCTCGAGAGCTGAAATCTTTCAGAATATATAAAGGGGGGGGGGAAGGAATGATGTTAGAGTCCTGTAAATCTTGTTTTGAGCACTGGATGTACCTGAGCTTGAAGCTGACAGCCATTGGACTGAGGTGACTCTAAACAGCGTCCATACTATTTGCTTAAGTTTCATTCATGTCTCTCCTACCCCTGCCCTCCACCCATACACACTTGGAAGTGCCTTGTAAGCTCCAGGCATACACATCCCACCCCACTCTGTTGCACGCACATCTCCCCTGTATTCCTAAGCCCCCTCTGGTTGGCACACACACATTCCCTCACACCCTTCCTGGTGGATGTCCTGCCTGGCAGTACCTTCTGCAGCAGCAGCACGATGATGGGGATGAGGCAGGCACGACTCTGTTCCAGTGTGACCAGTGTCCGGGGAGAGCGGATAAAGAGCTTGGTGTGGCCAAAGGCCACGTCCCCCTGCAGCCCGTGCTGCTCCAGGAGGGCACTCACGGCTGCCCGGTCAGAGCCCAGCAGGTGGTTGGGCCACGTGTATTCACAAGTCATCTTGTACCTGTCACCACAGGACAAGGGCGGTGGGCACCACCCTTCCCAACCCCACCAGGCCTTGACATACCACATCCAGCCCTCCACTACTCCCACGCCCCTGCCTCCAGGGCCTACTCAGCCCTACTCCTAAGTCTGGCCTACCCGCCCACACTAAACCCTGCCCCCACCCAGCCCAGCTGACTCTCAGTGTTCCAAGGTCACAGCATGCTGGCTCCCACATGCCTCCATGTCTGAGAAGCTCTGGTTGCTTTCAGGACCCTCTTGGCTTCCATACTGGTACAGGGCCTACAGGTGACAGGGTGATGGGGCTCCCAAATGGTGGGGCATCTTACCTGAGCAGGAATCGAGGGTAGGGCTGGCGGGAAGCAAAGCCAGCTCTGCGGACCCTCACGTTCTCCAGCAGCCCCAGGTAAGCAACCTGGTGGCGACAGTGGCCCTCATCCAGCCTTGCAGCCACTTTGTCCTCATTTGGCTTGATGCAGCGAACATAAAAGGGTTCCTGTGGGGACAGAGGACATTTGGTCAGGAAGGCCAGTGTCACACAGCCCTGTAGCCACTGGGAAGGGTGTGTGTGCTTTGAGTCTCTCCCTGGCTACAGTTTGTGTGGGAATGAGGCTCCGGTGGAGAGAGAGGTTGGCAGAGGGGCCCAGGGCAGGCAGAAGTGCTGGCCAGAGAGAAATTGGGGAAGGAGTTTGTGGGAGAGCCTGAAAAAAACCCCCACTGCATGGAATAGGAGAATAGGAGAAGGTGGAATAGGAGAAGGTGGGGCCAAGTTTTGGATTGCAGCAGTGAGCCCCACCCACCTTTTCTCTCATCTTCCAGAGTTTGACTCCCTGGGAAGTTGTTAGCCTATCCTAACTCCCTCCTGCTGCCTACCTCTGACTTTGGGCTCTAAGCTCCCCCCAAAAGCTAGTGCTTGTTTTTTGTCCCTGTGGTCCCAGTGTCCAGGGGCACACCACAACTCCTGGCAGGGCCTGGGCCAAGCCAATCCAAACACTGAGCAGGGTATCCTTGCATACCTCCTTACCTAAGAGGCATCAGGATAGGGAAAGCCCAGTTCAAACCTCATGTTTACTCAAGACTTGGGATAACTTAACCTGTATAGGGGGTAAGGCCCTGTTACCTGGAAGGGGTGTTATCTGGAAAGGAACATGCCCTCCCCAAGAAGAGCAGTGGTGGTGGGGGCCTACTCAACACCCAGGGTACAGACAGAAGGATCTGGAAGGATTCAGGACAGAAGTAGGGTGGTTACCTTAACAGCCAGGTTTTCCACCAGCGCCACCATGGAGTTCTTGAAGAGCGTGCCCGCTGTCAGAGGGCGCTTGGTCACCTCAGTGATGTCCTGCTGCCCATCCGGCCACATGGCCCGCAGGGTGGGGTCCATGCTGTGCACATAGGTCACATGCTCAGCTGCCCCAGCTTGGCCATTCTCAAGCCTTGAACCTTAGGTTATCCACCCATCAGCACAAGTCAGACAGGAATGTCTGAAGGTCCCTCCAACCTGAGCCACTGTGGGCTCCTTAGCCTTCTGCCCTCTGGCACCCACACACATGCCCAGCAAACCCTATTTACCTGTTGTACAGCAGCCGCTTGAAGTCCTGGAAGAGGGAGTCTCTGTTCTTGTCAATGAAGCCCTCCACCGAGTATCTGTGGGGGAGCCAGGGTTATTAAGGGCAAGGGACCTTTGATGACCCCGGGAAGCCTCTCACCTGGCTCTGTTCTCATAGGTAGGTCTCTCTTTCTTCCCCTCTCATATGCTTTCTCTCTAGTCAAGTCAGATTCCCTCCCTTAAGAGATGTTTCTCTCCTGAATGATATGTGGTTATGCTCTGGAGTCAGATACCATAGCACTAAATCGAGGCTCTAGCACAGCCCTGCTGTGTGACCTGGGGCAAGTTACTCAACCTACTGTGCCTCTATATATGTCACATTCTCAGAACAGAACCTACTGAGTTTCCATAAATACCGGCAATTGCAGTTACAGCCAGGAACTCCTAAGTCATTTGTCCATTTTGAACCTGTGGGCACTTAGAACCTCAGAGTCATTGTCTCAGTCTTTGCTGGAAAGCTTAGTGACAAAATCATGGTACTCTGGCAGCTCCTGCAAAGGCTTAGGGCATGGATTTTGTGAACAGATCTGACATCTGGCTGCTTCATTTTCTCTATTCTATTTCTTCTCCTTGTGAAGTACATATTAGACACTTCTTCCTCCCTTTGTGAGTCACCTCAAATCCACTTCAAGATGAGTTGAGCAACAGGCAAATTAATAACAGTAATCATGGAAATTTCTGAAGGACACCCTGAGCCTGGTACTCAGTGTGTGGCTCGAGAACTGACACTGTCTGCCTGGCCTGGGAGCTTGTTAAACACAGCCTCTCAGTCCTCCGCGCTGACCTGGCCTCTGCAGGTGGACTCCTTGCTTGTAGTGTGACTAAAAAAGCCCCACTTTCGCAGCAGCACGCAGTCCTGTCCTTTCTCCAAATACTGGTGTGGTTTGAGGCCCAGAAGTGGGCATTTTTCAAAGCTCCCAGCAGATTCTATGATGCAGCCAGGGCGCAGAACCACTATCTTAAAAATCTTTTCTGAGCTGTGTGGAGATTTCTGGACCTACTAAACATAGAGCTTCCATATGATCCAGCAATTCCACTCCTAGGTATTTACCCAAAGGACACAGAAACATCAATTCCAAAGAACACCTGCACCCCTATGTTTATAGCAGCACTATTTATAATAGCTAAGCTTTGGAAACAGCCCAAATGCCCAAAAATAGATGACTGGATCAAGAAGATGTGGTACATATATACCATGGAATATTACTCAGCATTCAAAAAAGATAAACACATGCAATTTGCAGCAACATGGATGGCGCTGGAAGAGATCATGCTCAGCGAAATAAGCCAGAAAGAAAAAGAAAAATACCGGATGGTCTCACTCATAGCAGGAATCTAGAAAACTTAAATAAGGGACCAGGAAAATGAATAACTATAAGAAAGTGAAAATCAAAATCAACAAACAACTATGAACCAGAGACACTCTATGGGGGGTGGGGGGCGGGAGGGGAGGGATTGGGGTCAGAATGGGGGGGGATTGCAATTGTATGGGGAATATAAAAATAAAATTTATTATTTAAAAAAAATAAAGGGGCAAATTTTCAAGCATCAAAAATAAATAAATAAATAAAATGATCACTGAACAGTAAGAAATTACAAAGTGCATGTTTCCAAATAAAGGTTAATTTGACTTGCATTTAAAAAAAATCTTTTCTGATTCTCTTCACTTGTGAATCCCATGAAAGGCTTGTTTTCAGTATCTTAAGAAGGGGAATAATGTGTTTCGTAATCATTTCCCTGGAGTACTCTCTGCCCCACCCCCACCTCTTATGCATGTTGTGGAATCCCTAGAGGGTCTGGAGGTGTGGTTCTTACGTGACATCCCCTGCATAGTGTTTGATCCGGAAGTCTCGGCCAAACTCCATGGTCTTGTCTGTGAGGCAGAGCTGTAGAGGGGACAGGCTGGGGTCAAGGCAAAGAAGGTATGTGTATGTGTCGGCGGGGGGCATCTGCAGGGATGGGAGACAGTCAAGATCCCATGGAGACAGGCATCGTAGAGCCTGTGGTGTGTGCCAGCACTGGGACAAGTTGGAGGTGAGTAGGGTAAAAGTGATCAAAGGATGGAGGAGGCACCTGGCGGCTAGTGTAGTGTGCATGGTGGCGGTGATGTGTGTCCAGGGTCTGCAGGAAGATTCGGTCGGTGATGGTGCCTGCAGTACTGCAAGCCTCATCCAGCACAGCCAGAACACCCCGGTGGGGCCGCTCCACCAGTTCCACGATGGAAGCATTGTTGAAGTAATCGACCTGGGACAGAACAAATGGGCTACATTCAGCACCTGCTCCTCCCGACCCTCCTTCAACTCCACTTGCCCACCACTGGCCCAGGACCACACTTCTTTGGGCACTCACGGTCTGCCAGGTGATGCCCTCCTGCTCATACTCCTCCTGCTCCTGCTTCAAGATGAGCTGAATGAAGAGCTGCTGTAGCTTCTCATTGCAGTAGTTGATGCAGAGCTGCTCAAAGCTGTGGTGCAGGACCTGCTCAGTTACAGCTTTCCTGCTCTCCTTGGGGTGGTTACTTTTGTGGTTACTCTCCATTTATAGTGCCCCTGAAGTTTAGCTAAGGGGTCTGGTGCCTCACTGTGGGGAGTATATCTACAGCTCTTGGCTCTTCTTTACCCCACTGCTCCGACCTCCAGCTCCAAAGTTTTAGAGTAGAGATTTGTGATCATAGTGAGGGGAAGTGAGCCTGAGAGTCTGCCTTCCTGGGCTCCACTGTATGGGTACCACAGCTGAGGTGGACTCAGGGCCATGAGTCTGGGTCGAGGTACCAGTTGGGACAGACACCAGATATCTTGCTTCCCATCCCAACCACGTTCTCTAGACTAACATGACCCTAGGGGTTGGAGGGTTGGAGTATGAGATGTGGTTGACCACCCACCTGTTGACAGGGAGCACCTCAAAGCCGTAGATGTCCAGCACACCAATGACTGTGTCCTTGCCATCTCGCCGGGGGTCCCTGCCCCGGGTTTCCATGACACTGTTGATCCTGCTCACCACCCACTCAAAGAGCCGCTGGTACATTGCCTGGGGAGAGACCAGGGTTTGGCTGCTTCTGCCTATCTCTGACCTAGCCTCTTCCAGGAAGGCCTCCTGGGTCCCCCCAAACCCATCCCCCACTGCTGGTCTCCCAAATACCTTGGCACAGGCATCTCGGGCATAGCTGGCCTCAGCTGCGGTGTAGCCCTTTTCAATGAGTTCCCTGCCTCCTGAGGCCACAGTTCGGGCCAGCAGGCAGCGCAACACCAGTTCCCGGGGTGTGGCTGTCAGCTCAGCCACGTAATCCACCAGCTCCTCCTCGGTCACTGCCAGTTTCCCCTGCTCCGGCCCACCCTTCTCCGTCTCCACAAACTCGATGTTTCCCTAGTAACGAGGGAACCATGAAGAGTCCAGGTTCATGGAACCTGGTCTTCTTTGCCTGGTAAAAAAGGAAGGGAAGGCAGGGACGAGAGGGCGGAGGAGCCCATCCTCTACCACAAACATAGCCAGAGATGTAGAATGGCCCCTGGAGCCCACCACAGCCCAAGACTTCCACCCCCAAATGTCACTTGAATTATCCCATTGCATCCTCCTGCAGCTAGACTTAGGCATTGTCTACTCTTTTTTTTTTTTTTGAGATTTATTTATTTATGCATACGAGAGCTGGGGTACCGGCCAGAGATGTGGGGGTGAGAGGATTCACCAGAGACAGAGTGGGGAACAGAACAGACAGACTGAAATACACTGCTGAGGGGAGCAGCAGGCAAGACAGGAGAGGTCTGCTGCGCCATGTGAGTTGCTCCCTGGCCGGCCGGGGATCGAACTTGTGCTGCGGATTGCTTCATAGTGCGGTGCTTAACCCCTTGTGCCACCAGGGAGGCCCTACATTTTTTTTTAAGATTTTATTTCTTTTTTTGTGTAGAAGAAATGGGGTATAGGCTAGAGGTGCAGAGGGTGAGAGGATTCACAAGAGACAGTAGGGAGCAGAGCAGGTGGATTTATTGTACACTGCTAAGCAGCAGGCAAGACAGGAGAGGTCTGCTGTGCCATATGTGGGTTAAGCAACCTGGCCGGGGACTGAACTCAGGCCATAGTGGTGGTAGCTCTGTGACTTAATCCCTTAGGCCACCAGGGAGGCCCACTGTCTACTTTTTATGCTACTTCAGAGCGAAGGGAGGCCCAGAGGCACAGAATAACCCATCCAAAGTCACACAGCAATTAAATGACAGAAGGCAGAGGCAGGGCTACACAATACTGCGCCCAGACTTCTTTGCCCACATAGCACACAAATTCATCTACTAGCCGTGGGTAGGTACATTGCAGGCCTGACCGGCCACATTCTGGGCATGCAGAGGCCATGGCTCAGGGTCAGTCTCAAAGGAAGTCCACAGCCAAAGCAATTTGGCTTCAGCAGAGGGAGGAGTAAGTCATGGTTGGATTATAAGAGGTCAGTTGTTTTCCTGCGACAACTGCCAGCAGGACCCCATGTGGGGATGTGACACCCCCCCCCCCCCCCCCAAGCTGGGCTTACCAGGTGCAGTATGGCAGCCAGGATCCGGCGCACAGAGCCCACCTCCTCAGAACTGAAGCCGATCACTAGCATGGCCTCTGTCACCGCCTGGTGGTGGCTCTTCTCGTCGCTCTCTAAGGTCTGGGGGGAATAGGACTCAGCAACCCAGTGGCGTGCGAAACCCTGATTCCTCTCTCCCAGAGCAAGTGCTCACCCACTGCACCCTATCCCCAAGCTGAGGCCCGATTCCACCAACTGCATGTCTGTAGATCAGTCCTCCAGCGGTCCTGCTGAGTCATTCACACTGTACATGGAAGATTGCTGCTGATGGTCAGCACCAGGGGCCATGTGTGATTAGAGCACCAGGCTCTAGTGCTCATGCGGAGCCCTGCCCCCACTCACATTGAGCCCTGCTCCCTGGCGGGTGAAATTATACAGAGCAGGGTTTCTCTGTAAGTGCAGTTCATGTAGCTCCTCATCCTCACAGCCCCGCAGCACCTAGAGAACAGAGACATCCCTCAGTTAGGAGCACTGAGCTCAGGGGGCCTCACCTACACAAGCAGGAGGAAATAGGGGTGTCTTTCCACCATGACTGACCCAACAAATGCCCAGGATTTGGAGATGGTATGGACACTGCTGGTATGTAAGAAAAACATACTTCAGTGGTGAGATGTGGTGCAAACACCAAAGGACTCCATTAAGAACCCACGTCAGAGGTCATATTTAATGTAGATACCACACAAGTTCAGAGAAAAACCATCTCTGTGGTCTGATGTGGTACAGACACTGAACCAACCCAAGGAGAGCCCACTTCAGTGGTCACACAGTGTAGACACTGCCCACATTCAGGCAGAACCCACCTCAGTGGTTCAGAAAAAAATGTGGACACCGCCAGAAGCAGGGTGACCTAGCCTCAATGGGTCAGACACCAACAGTGTCCAAGGAGATGTCCCCTGACCAAGTCAGACATGGTATAGAAACACCAGAATCAGGGACTCCAACATTAGTGGGTGAGACACTGAGCAAACCACCAGTGCCCAGGGAGTTCCCACCTCAGGGTGTCAGTCACAGCGCACACTTAGCTTGAGACCAAAGAGGGTCCACCTCAGTGAAGGGGGTCAGGGCATTGGAGACACAAGGCACAGAGGAGGTGGTTGGGGGAGATGACCTGAGCATGGCAGTCAAAAGGACTTCCTGCTGCCATCCCTATCGCTTGCATGGCCTACCTGGTAGAAGGCGTGGAAATTCCTTTCACCCACGTGTTGCTTGAGGACTCGAGACTAAAAAGAGAGACAGAGCTGGACTGGTATCTGCATGGTGGTCCTAGCCCAGGGGGCTTGCCCCTTAGCTCAGGGTAGTGCAGACAGTGGGATGGCAGACCTCGGTGGAGGAAACCTTGAGGTCCAGAGAAGGGTACAGAGGGAACACTGCCGTGCTGACTTGGGACATCAGAGAAGGTATGTTCCGGCCCCGAGGGCCCCTGACTTGGGATGAGGCAATGTAGTTGGGAAGATCTGCCAGGATCCCCTGGGGAGAGGCCTGCACACCGCACCTGCTCAGGGCCTGCAGCAGCAAGACCCACCTTTTCCAGCAGGTAGCTGTGGATGTGTCCCCCTACAGGATCTCCTTTAAAGTCGAAGTTGATGTCCATGTACTTGCCGAAGCGGCTGGAGTTGTGGTTGCGGTTGGTGCGTGCGTTGCCGAAGGACTCTAGCACACAGGTGGACTTGAGTAGCACATCCTTGACCCTGGTTAGGAGGGTGGGGAGCTATAGGGCAAGTACTTTATACTAAGAACTAAGTACTTTATAGTAAGAACTGTACCTCAGTCAGGGTCCCTTCTTTCACTCCCATGGCAGGATGAAAGGGAATTTCAGAGCCTGACCTCACCCTTGAGCTGACTCTGACAGGCTGTGGGGAGGGCCCTGAATGCTAATATGACTGGCAGGTGGCGTGTGTTGTGTATGATGTGAAATGCAGAGTCCCTGAAGGCCTCAGTGTATGTGCATGGTCCCTCCCACCTTCTAAGACTGCAGCTGCAGCCTGCAGTGAGGAGCTGGGTCTGCATAATCTGCCAGCCTCCTCCACTTGCAGACGTGGGCAGCTGCCAGTCACATGGGCTCAGGAACTTCCATTGCTTGCCCCCATGACCCTAACTCACCTCATCTTGACAGGAGGAGGCAGGACTCCCACACAGAAAGCTGCTCCCACAAGTCCCCACTGATGAGTAGCAGATGTGTAGGCAGGTTGATGGGCCCTGATTTCCAGATTCCTGGCCCAAATCCCGACATTCGACCTGACATTCCTGACCTTCCTGATCAGCTGGCTAAGTTCTCTATTTCTATTGTGTTTCTATGAGGGGTCCAGTGCAAAAGTTGGCCCTCTGTGTTTTACCTCCTTCTCTGTCCCTAATAGCAGGGCGCTCCTCTCCCTGGTTAAGAGGACCAGTGTGAGGGCCAGCCACCTCTTATCTCTGCCAGTGTGGGGAGTCACCTGGAACCTTCCTGACAGAAAAGCCTCCTGAACATGGCCCGAGCTGGCCTCAGTTGCATCCCTTGCTTCCCTGTTGGTTCCTGGGCCCAAGGCACGAGGCCCAGGACACCCCTTTCCCCAGCCCTCCCTGCCCTCACCTCTCCACCTCAGCCCTCTGGCTAGAGTTGGTGACAGCAGAAATGTACTGCATGATGTGCTTGCTGGCTTCGGTCTTCCCTGCCCCACTCTCCCCTGCAGATAGAAAAACAGAATAGTGACTTCTTGCCCTTGATGGTTCCCTGTGTCTAACCCCCACCACAGGTGTTTCAGTCACTTCCCCAGCATTTACAAATGAAGACACTTGAGGCCCAGGGAGGCTGCAGCCAGCACCTTGGCCCTGGCAGCAGGGTAGATACCTGAGATAACAATGCAGGTGTCCCTGGACCGGAGCTTCATCATCTTGTAGGCTGCATTGGCCACGGCGTAGAGGTGGGGTGGCCGCTCATAGAGCTCTCGGCCCTGGTACCTGGCAATGGCCTCGGGCCCATACAGGGGTAGCTCCTGGTAGGGGTTCACGGACACCAGCACCTCCCCGATGTAGGTGTAGATGCGGCCCTTCTCAAACCTGGTATGGGCAGGGCCAGTCCTCAGCCCTCACAAGCCATGGGGACACACCCAGGTCCTGGGGCATTGGGCCTGTGTGGGTAGCCTCGGGATCCCTGGCCCACTCCCAGAGCTGAAAGCGGAGAAGGGGTAGGGGTTGACCTAAGATTCCTGGTGTCACCTGGAGGCACTGGGCCACTGGGAGCCCAACCCCACTGTAGTAGTATTGGCTTCCAATCTGCTTTCCAAGGGGGACATCCCTGTGATGTCACAGCAATCACACCATTTTATGAAGGGGATTGACTTGCTGGAGTCCCAGGCAGAGCCCGGAGTTAAGGAGCCAGAGTTGAAAATGGAAGGAAAAAGAAGCTGGCAGGTAGAGGGAGCGCCGCAGGCGGTTTCAGATCTCCAGGCCTGGGCAGGAACCCACAGGAAGAAAGGTAGCCTGTCCAGCCACACCCAGAGGGGGCCTGAGGCAGCGGCAGCTGCTGCCCCTCCCCTGGCATAAACCTGGTTTAGAGAGGTTATACCTGGGTATGTCATTGTCTTCATTGCTGTGCCTTGGAAGCTCTGCCTCTCTGTCCTGTTCTTGAGCCTGGAACCGCCCTTCCTCTGATGGCCCATCCTGGGTTCCTCTTCCTGTTCCCACCCCCAGTGACGGCTCCTTCCACACCCTCAACTGCTGCCCTCCCCCGACATGCTTTCCTCTCTGCAAGCTGGTCTAAGATGGTAATACTCGCCCATAGCTAGTTCTTCAAGAACGAAGTGAAACCATACTTCGCTTTGTGTCCTAGAATTGAACTTCATTTCCTGCATGACCCTCCCCTCTACCTACAGCTTTGGCCTTAGCTCAGGTCTATGGTCTCCTACAATTTGGGCTTAGTGGGCCCTGTCCCCAAATTCTACATAGCAGGCAGCCTTCTGTTCCCCCTAGCTGGCCAGGAAACAAGCCGGCTCCTGCTGCCCACCCCATCTCACCACCCGTCTCCTCCGGGTCAGCTGTCCTCCAAGGCAAACTGAGCCCCATGTCACTTTTACCAGTTGGACCCCTGAGAGCATCATCTCAGCTTATCCACTTTTACCCCAGGGCCTGCTTGCTTCCCTTTGAGGCCCCAGGGCTCAGCACAGACCCACATTGGAGAGTAGTGTCCCCCCAGTCCCAGTACCTGACACCACCCTGTCCTTGCCAGGTGGGGGGAGGCACAAGACACCTGGGCTGTGTGGGAAGCGGGCCCGGGGACCTGTCCGGCACAGGCGGCTGCTGGGCAGTCCCTCCTGGTGTATGCCACGTGGGCATCCAGACAGTAGTGTCCGTGGATGTTCTTGCCTCACCCCTGGTGATGGGGACCAGTGGTGGTGGGGACCAGGGGAAGGATGGACCTGAGTCCTGAGTCTACCTGAGTTTCAGGTTCTTCATGAAGTCTTCCATGGTCACTTGATCCAAAAGCACAAAGTCGGGTTTGCCATACTCAGGTCCTTCCTCGTCCTCCATCGCGCCGGCAGGAAGCACCCTGACCAGGTTTGCCTCAACCTAGCTGTGCAATCGGGTGCTCTTGTGCAGGCCCAGCCCTCTCTGCACCTCCCCAGTGCTGCGGTGAAGTAGGAAGTGGGTTATGACTGGGGAGGTGCTGTCCTCTCTACTTACCACTCCCGCCCAAAGGGGCTCTAACCTCGGCTTCCTAGTTCCTGTACTCAGAGGGTGGGCGTGCCTAACGGTTGAGATTGAGGCACAAGGGGCTCCCTGCTGGCCTCCTTAGTAAGCACTCTCCAGTATCTCTAAGGCCACCCCTCATCCTGAGCAGCAGAGGCTCAGGTTTCCCAGCCCCTCCCTGAGTTGTGTCACCTGTGGAACTGAAGGAAAAATTTCTTCACATGGTTGTGGTTATTCAATCTTTTGTGTCTGTCAGTTCTCAGACCTCCACACTGAGTGGATTTTAGAGCAGTTGTATTGCCTAATGTAAAAGTGCAAGATGCGGATGCACATATCTGGCAATGACATTCTGCCCGTGCACCTGTTTCACTATGGTCACTGCCCCAACTTGTTAAACCTAGCCAAAGGTGTGCAAAGACCATGTGTGTACAAAGACCATGCTGGGATGTAAATGACAAAACCAACTGCTCATCTGACCTGGCACAGGCTGTGGTCTGGATTTGTCCCGCCTCCATTCCCAGTAGTGTCCTCCAGGACTCATGGATGTTTCTGGAAGGTTCCCACATGTCCTCCAGGTCCACCCATCCATCCCTTCAGCATTAAGGAACAGGAAAAGCACTGGGAACCCTCCTGTCCCACTTGAGTCCTCACTCACCAGAGGTGTAGACTACACTCATGATTGTGCTTTCCCCACCCTGACAGCTTGCACAAGGGACTTGCCACCCACTGTCTCAGAGGGTAAGAGGATGAGATGACATCATATCAGGGTTCTTCCCCATCTTGGTCTGGTCCCCATTCTGACTGGTCAAGTTTGTGCCCACACAACTTTCATGACCACATGGAAGCCTGTATTTCCCAACTGAATGCCACCTTTGGGAGTCTGTACTCTAACACTCAAAACACTAATTTAATAATAGTCTTTCAATCAACTCTTTAAACTCTGAGATAACTAACATGCACTTTCCTCCCTAAAATACACACCTAATAATATTGCAAAGTACTTACATCAAGTGCTTGATAGAACTGTGCATTGCAATGATGGGCCTGAAAAAGTCTCCCACTACAATGAGGCTTAGGGGCCACCCTGGGGTTCCTCTGGGGCAAACCTGGTCATTTTATGCTAAGCCCTGTGGACAACCCCTCCCAGCCTCTTGGGCTGGTGATTTGTAGGGCTTTCTGAACCAAACCTCAGAAATTAGGGGAGTTCTTATCAAACTTTCCCCACCCCTCAACAAAGGTTTCACTTCCCTAACCTCCAGGTATCATCCATCCTGTTTCTATTACATCAACACTTGAAAAGAACTTAGTTGTTCCTGTAGATCTTCAGAAACACAGGAACCTGAACGTAACAAAATTTGGGAAGTCTCAAAGTAGCATTCTTTGGGTTTTCTGTGATGACCATTCTTAGGGGATTTGGCTGTGTGGGTGGAGCTGCCCTGTCACCTTGAGTCTACAATCATGATTGTGCTTTCCCCACCCTGACAGCTTGCACGAGGGACTTGCCACCCACTTTGTCAATAATCAGGGAAGTTCTTCCCCATCTTGGTCTGGTCAGATGTCACCAGACTCCATGTTGTCTCAGGGAAGACAAGTAGTGGCCTTATTTTCATCTTCCTCAGGACACACCTTTGGCTGGGTTTGACAAGTTGGGGCAGTGACCATAGTGAAACAGGTGCATAGGCAGGTTAGGATAGCAAGGAGGGGCCAATGGGAATTGGGGCAACAATTTGTTTCATTGCTATCTTATCCAAGATCAACTCCAAAATCCCACCCCAAGCCTCTTACTGGGAGAGCTGAAATTTGCAGCAGACTTCCAGTCGTCTCAACATCCCTCATCCCGTCTCAGTTTCTCCATATCTTCCCACACAGATGTATTCACTTAGGATATGTATTTAAAATTTTTATCTAATGTCAGAGTATAGATGCAGGGCAAAAGCTCCACCAAACCCTTTGGTTTTGCTAGCTATCTGGGGATTGAGTCTCACAGTCTGACCCACAGTGGTGAAAAGACAAAGAAGCAAGGCAAGGCAAACCATTCCAAGAACTCCATATGGCTACTGAGCTGGTATCTCCGTGCCTCCATCACCCACCCACTCTACAGTTTACAAAGGCTGAGCAATGAGAACAGACTCCAGGGATTCCTCAGATTTGGCCGAAACTCCTTCAAAGGCAAATCTTCCTCACATTTGTTATCCAGCATATAGAAAGAACTGAGGCAGGACTGCATCACACACTGAAAATGCTTTATTAAATATTTCTTGTTTATCACTCAAAGATATCACAGTGGACTGGGATTCTGATGCAGAGGATCCTTGTTCTGGAAGCAGACAATCTGGTGCCAAAACCTGGGGTTAGAGAACTTCAGTTAGGCAGGCATGCCAGACCTTGAGCCACCCATACCCCAGCCCAGGGCCAAGAACCTGAAATTCCCACCCTACGAGAGGGGGAGTGAGGCTATGAACCAGCTCAGAAAAGCTGAGTGCAATGGGTTCAAATTCTGCTGCCTCACTTTGGCATGCCAATGTGGATAGGCTGTATAACCCCTCAGAACCTCAGGTCTGCTGTGAAAATTAGGTGACATAAACATAGTTGGGGGTTGTTACAAGTTCTAAATGCCACTGAATGTCAGAAACAAAAAGGAACCTGGGCTCCCACTCTTAACTCCACTGTGAAGAAGCCTCTGCGACAGACTTAGCCTGCCCTTTCCCAGGGAAAAGGCGGCAGGTCAAACGTAAAACTACAAGGGCATTAAGAACCAGATATGAGACAATGTCCACAAAATAGTCTTTTAAGCTTGAAGGTAATTAACCTTTCTGGGATTCAAATACCTGATTTATAACATGGGACAATCAGAGTAAGTTGATGGCTTTGAACTATTTTTTGGCTGGGGGCTCATGGAAAATATAACACAGAAATGAAGTGACTTGCTAGGGCAGAGTCTTCCTGCATACTCACCACTGCACAAACCGCATGGAGTATCCGGATAGCCATGGAAAAGCTCAGCTCTCACATTTCCTCTAGCTTTAGCATCCTGGGGTTTTTGTTGCTGAACCACTGAGGGAGGGCAGGCTACATGTTGTGTACTCTGGCAGGGGCACAGCCGAGCCTGCCTGGAGAAGGTGGCTGTCATGAACGGAGGTGCACGCGATTCACAGAGAAGCATCTCCCAACAGCAGCTCCTGGAGGCCGGTATGTAGTCTGCATCTGGACTTAAGACAGATCTGATCTACCGGCATCCTCCACCTTCAAGGGAGATGTGGTATGACCCAGGGACCGAGTGGTACACAACTGTGCTGCCCCTGCCATGATGGCGCTTTCCATCCTGCCTATCTCTGATGCACACCAGAGCAAGGACACGAGGGCACTCCACTCCTTTCCAGTCTGGCATCCTGGAAAGGAACAGAAACTTTAGGGTTTGAGAGACCAGGTGTCCAATCCTGAGCGGTCAGCTCCTGGTTGGGTAAACCTAAACACATAATTCTGACCTTGGATTTCTCATCTTTATTGATAATAAGACCACCTCAGTATCCTCAAAAATTTCAACTCAGGGAAAACTTAGGACATTTGTTACAAAATAACAGTTCAACCAACAATACATCCCTTTCTCCCAAGAGATCTTCCTTTAAGATCAGACACACTAACCTCACCCTCTGTCAGTTCCTGGGCATTCAATCTATCGCAGAACTTAGCATTTGTTTGCTTTACTGACACGTAAATATGTCAGTCTTTCAGGTCTGGGTTCATCCCTGTTATTCCTTAACACATATTACTCCCTGCTCTTGCTCTAACTCCACTTTTACTGCTCCCTCTGAGCTTCATCACCAACATTTGTTAAGACTTTTGTTTTAAGGACCTCCCCGGTGGCGCAGCGGTTGAGCGCTGGGTTGCGAAGCTGCCCGCAGCCTCTTCAGCGCCGGTTTGATCCCCTGCTGCTCCCCGGCCACCAGAGGAGGGTCCCACATGGCGCGTGGATCTCTCCTGCTGCCCGCTGCTCCCCTCAGCAGTGTACTTCTGCCTGCTCTGCTCCCTGCTCTGGTGAATTCTCTCAACCTCCCGCGCTTCTGACTGTACCCAGTACTTGTATAAATAAATAAATCTTTGGGGAAAAAAAAAAAAAAGACTTTTGTTTTAAGAACATGGTAAAATTAAAAATGCAACTAGCTGGGAACAAAGCAAACATGCTAAATTCAAATCAACTTCCAAATGTGGCTGACCACCAGAAATAACTGAATTTTAAAATTTACTCAGGGCCGCCCTGGTGGTGCAGGGGTTAAAGACACAGTGCTATCAAGCTATCTGCTGCACGAGTTCCGTTCCCAGTCAGGGAGCTGACCCACATGGCACCGCAGACCACTCCTGTCTTGCCAGCTGCTCCCCACTCAGTCTGGTGAATCATCTCGCCTCCTGCACCTCTAGCCTACACCTCAGCTCTTGTATGTATAGATAAAAAAAATCTTTCAAAAAAATTTACTTAAGTTTTACCATATGTGGCAAGTAATTACCATATCAGCAGAGTACAGAGCTACACAATGCCCACCTTACCACATCACAAAAGGGAGCAAACGATTGTTTGAAATTTCTATAACCTTGCTCTGGATAGAAACAGGGCAAGGCCTCAAACCACTTCAACTTATTCTTGCAAGCACTGTAGGAATGCACAGGGTCACCCCAGACCCAAGCACGCTGGAGGCTTGCAGTTCACATGGCTGACGCACAAAGCAGTACCAGTATAAAGCAGAAGCCCCCGCCAGACGTTGAAGGGAGGAGAAATCATGGTGTTTAATCAGGCCTACTTGGGTTTCCTTCTGTTGTAGAGCAACCCCGATACAAAACGGGGTGCCTGACTGTGGGTCCTCACCCGCGCGCTTAAAAAGACTTATTAATGCTCTACTGCAGGCACACTCCCCCTAACACTTCCAGGAGCCTGTGGGCCCAGATAAAACTCAGATAGCAGGCAGGAGTCTTGGGAGAGGCTGCCTTATCCAGTTGCTCAGACAGTAGGAACTGGCCTTCACTTCATTCCCTGTGATGTAGAGTAGCACTTCCTAAACTTACACAGAAAAACCTGTATCATCCCATCACGCAGAAACAGCCTTTTTCTTCCACATTCTCCTGTACCTTACAACCAGGAGAAGACTTCGGACGTACAGATTAAGACACAGACGATTCGGTAAAGACGTTCCTCATGAAACAGTGGTGGAGGAAAAGCGGGGGCCAGTTTCTGGTGGGGGGAGCTGGGGGTGACATCTTCCAGAAGCGTGGCGAGGAGCGTAAGGAGACCCGCCACCTGCAAGGGAACAACCACGGTCATTCAAGCCGAGCCTCCAACGACCCCCTCAAGGGAGACCCTACCCCACGACTCCAGGGCTGGTCCCCAAAGACATTTATGTTGTTTGAATCCGACCTTATGAGCCATGGCTAAGACCCCCTCCCCAGTTCACCCTCTCATAGCAGCCGCAGACGTGGGCACGGACGCCGCCAACGGCAGTCTGGGCCCCCATTATGCCGCCCACCGCTGAGCCCCCAAACCCCACGACACTTACGCGGTTTCAGCAAAGAGCGGGCACCGATTACGACCCTCGATGGCACCGGATAACGAGGACGCCACGAACGGCCAACCTCCTAAGGAACTTCCCGACCCAAGGCGACGGCAGCACGTACCAGCGCGCCTGCGTCATCACGCAGCCCACCGGAAGCCGTACGCTGCCTCACGTGACAGGCGCCTTGGCGCGTCCGGGTAGGTGACGTAAAGCGGTGGGGGTGCTCCGACAGCCCCTTTCGTTGCAATTTGAGAGGCTGCGGAGCTCGAGTTTAGTGGAGTGGTGGCTGGGCTTTCCCGCTGTTCGGCCCGCCGAAGGGAGCCCCTGGGAGGGTGGGGAGGCCTGGGAAGCCGAGAGGCAACCGTTTAGAGGAACAGGAGATCGGGAAATCGGGAGCCGGCCCGGTCGGTCTCCGGGGACGAAGAAGGGGAAAAGGGCCCCACCAAGGAAAGCTGGATGCCGCATCCTCCAGTTCTTTAGGCTACCCTCCCAACTCCACCCCCATCCTTCCCCCCAGGATTTCATCCACTGTCCCTTTCAAATTTATGCAGTTAATGAATGCACACGCCTCTGGCTTATCTTCACATCTCAGCACCTCGGAGTCCTTACTTTGAAATGTAATTGTCAGCGGATATAAAGCCCTACTTCGGTTTCCTGGGTGGTTAAGGGTACAACTTGTCCAAATTGCACAAGGATGCATTGTGTTTATTCAGCTATATAAAAGCATGAGATTTCTTCCTATCTGCATCTTTCTAGTGGATTGCCCTAATGTGTATCACATTCTGGTTTAATTCTCAATAAACTTTTTGTTGTACCTTTGTGAAGAGGTTTTCTGGTTGGGAGGAAATTTTTTAATATTTTCTTAAAGGAAGATCAATTTTTTTTTAAGAATCATTTTTATTTATGCATAAAGAACTGGGGTGTAGGCCAGAGGTGGGGGGGTATTAGGAGGGATGAGAGGATTCACGAGAGACAAAGTGGGGAGAAGAACAGCAGATTTACTGAAATACACTGCTGAAAAGAGCAGTGGGAGGGACTGGAGAGGTCTGCTGTGCCATGTGGGTCGGCTCCCTGGCCAGGGATTTAACTCGTGCTGCAGTGGCTGCCAATAGCTTGATAGAGCTGACTTTAACTCCTATGCCACCAGGGAAGCCCGGAAATTTTGTTTTTAATTATATTTTTGGGCCTCCCTTGTGGCGCAGACGGTTGAGTGCAGCGCTGTGGAGCTGTCCGCAGTCTCTGCAGAGTGCATTTGATCCGGCTGGCCGGGGAGATACCCACATGGCGCTGCAGACCTCTCCTGACTCGCCCCCTGCTCCCCTCAGCAGTGTTTTTTAGTCAGTCTGCCTGTTCTGTTCACTCTGCCTCTGGTGAATCCTCTCATCCTCCCGCACATCTGGCCTGTACCCCAGTTCTTGTATGCATAAATAAATCTTTAAAAAATTATATTTTCCACTCAGGCAGAGAAAAACACATGGGAACATATTAAGTCAGGAAAGGGAGTGTCTTGTTGGAGATGCAACTAAATATTTCAGGCTTGTGGTGTGTTTTTTTTTTTTTCCTTGTGGTGTGTTCTTGACAAGGAGAGGTACATAAAGATTATACCTTCAAGGGTCTTGACTGTTAGGCTAGGAAGGTAAGAACTTGGTTCTGCAGATAAGTGCAGAGCAGTATTTGAAACTCATATTTTATGTATAGTACTGAGTAAATACAATCAAGCCCTTTACAGTATACAAATTCCATTACTTTATGAGCCAGAACAGGAATATTATTTCCAGATTGCTAATTTGAAGACTAACATTCACCCAAAGAGGTTAAGAGATTAGAGGAAAGCTTAACATTTTCCTATAAACAACCACATGGGACACTAATCTTCTCCAGGCCTGAGGTCCTCATCCAGATGCTGAGCCTCCCTTTTCTCTACCAGGAAATACTCCTACTCCCTAGCCTGCCCTTGGGTCTCTGCTAAATGCATATGAGGGTGCTGCACTCCCATGTTGTAGCCAGCTCTGAGCAAATAGCCTTTGCTTCTTCTCCATTGGTTACTTCCCATTTGTTCCCAAAATTAGTAAACAGACTGTTACTTGAAGTATGGGCTTGTGTGTGTGAAGATGAAGCAAATAGAAAGTATATAATTACCAGCTCCTAAAACAGGGCTTCTAAAACCCTTGGAATTTTCTGGGTGGTAGAGGAGTGTTGTTCTAATGAGGCAACTCTGAATGGGCTCCTGGATAGTTCCTGGATGGAGACTGGTCACTGCAAAGACCAAGCCATGATTTGAAGCTTGGGATTTCATTCCTATACCACCTCCCCATTTTCCAAATAGGATAGAGGGACTGGAAAAGGAGTTAATGATTGATCAAACCTATGTGAAGAAGCCTCCACAAATATCCAACTGCATGGGGTTCAGCGAGCTTCTGGGTAGAACACACATGAAGGTACTGGGAGAGTGGCATGGCTGTGTTACCAAGCAATAGGTGCACTGCATGATGTGCATAGGAGTCAATTATTATGGCACCACGTTTTGAAAGAAGAGTTTGTTGCAAGTCAATCAGCAAGGAGGCAGGAGGAAAACCCAAATCAGCTCCTCCATCCAGTAAAGGGAAGAGGTTTATATTGACTTTGGGGAGTGGGGTTGAAAACAAAGGAAGTCAATTTTATTAGCTAAGAAGTGGACTAAGGGCAAAGAAACAGAATCTGACTGAAGTTTATTGACTAATTACCTATTGGTTCATATAGGGAGAGTTTTTTCCCCCAAGTAACTGGATCTTCTGTGTCAATAGATGCCCTTTTCTTTGCACTCACTCCTGGCTCTGTGTTGTTGGTCCTGTGTTTTCTCAAGGTTAGTGGCATCCATTCATGTTCCTGTTGCCTCATTTATAAATATGCTGTATCTGTGAAGACAAGCCTCAGAGAGGATATTACTTTTTTTTTATTCTCTAAGACTGAGAACTGAGAGTAATTTAAACCATTTAACCCCAGTTTCAACTGGAGATGGCATGGAAGCTCAATGCCCCTTCCCACATATGTTGTCCTAGGTAACTCTTCTACCTGAATGTTTATCTGTATCCTTTTTTATTTTTTATTCTTTCTATTTTTATTTTTTTAAGATTTATTTATTTATTTATACAAGCACTGGATACAGTCAGAAGTGCGGGAGGGTGAGAGAATTCACGAGAGCCAGGGCGGGGAACAGAACAGGCAGACTGATGAAATACACTGCTGAGGGGAGCAGCAGGCGCAGCAGGAGAGGTCTGCATGCCATGTGGGATCCTCGCCAGCAGGCGGGGATCGAACCAGCGCTGCAGAGGCTGCGAGCAGCTTTGCAGCCCAGAGCTCAACCGCTGCGCCACCAGGGGAGGCCCCTGTATTCCTTTTTAAAAAATATTTATTTAGGGCCTCCCGGTGGCTCAGCGGTTGAGCGCTGGATTGTGAAGCTGCCCGCAGCCTCTGCAGCGCCGGTTCGATCCGCGGCCGCTGGGTGAGGGTCCCACATGGTGCACAGACCTCTCCTGCCGTCCGCTGCTCCCCTCAGCAGTGTACTTCAGTCCTAATGACTGCTCTGCTCCCTGCTCTGGCTCTGGTGAATTCTCTCACCCTCCCGCGCTTCTGACTGTACCCAGTGCTTGTATAAATAAATAAAAATAAATCTTTAAAAAAATTTATTTATTTATGTACACAAGAACTGGGGTACAGGCCAGAGGTGTGTGTGTGGGGGTGAGAGGATTCACCAGAGACAGAGGGGGGAGCAGAACAGGCAGACTGACCGAAATACACTGCTGAGGAGAACAGTGGTAAGTCAGGAGAGGTCTGCTACGCCATGTGGGTAGCTCCCTGGCCAGGGATCAAACTCGTGCTTCAGTGGCTGTGGACAGCTTCATAGGTTGCATCTTAACTTGCTTCATAGGTTGCGTCTTAACCCCTTGCGCCACCAGCGAGGCCCCTTTATCTGTATTCTTGATCATATCCTTCTATAGCAAACTGATAAATGTACACAAAATGTTTTCTTGAGTTCTGTGAGCCTCTCTAGCAAATTAATCAAACCTAAGGAGGGAGTTGTGGGAACATCCAATTTATAGTTCATCAGTTAGCAGTAGAGGTGACCATTTGGACTAGCAGTTGACATCTGAATTGGGGTGAAGGCAGACCCACGGGACTGAGTCCTTAATATGTAGACTCTGATGCTAACTTCAGGTAGGTAGTGTTAGAATTGAGATAAATTGTAGGACAACCAGCTGGTGGAGTAGAATTTCTTAGTGTGGAGAAAATGTTCCCCATATCTGGTGTCAGAAGTGTTGAGTGTGGTAGTAGTGTGACAGTAAAGAAGAAATAGAGGAGTAGTGTGAGTTTTTCCCAAAATATAGGCTAGGGAAGTTTTAGTGGTGTTATTTGCTGCAATAATGAAGTAATAAGTGTGGAAATGTACATTAGTGGAAAACCTCAAATATCAGCTGTTTTGTGACTTGTGGGAGAATAGTAACTCCCAAATGCACTGCATTATTTGCATCTGTCAATGTGGCAAGCTAAATCATTGTAGAAGGTAAACTGAAGGGTCATTTTTCATACCTCTATTGCCAAAGGGACTGGTACACCTAAAACCCAGTGATCAACTATTCTTTTGGTATCTGTATCAAATATTGTCCAACTAGGAGACAGAAACAAAGTTAAAGAAGTTTGTTTAAAAAGATTTATTTATTTATGCATACAAGAACTGTGGTACAGGCCAGAGGTGCAGGGGGTGAGGATTCACCAGAGACAGAGTGGGGAACAGAACAGGCAGACTGACTGAAATAAACTGCTGAGGGGAGCAGCGGGTGAGATAGGAGAGGTCTGTTGCGCCTTGTGGATAACTCCCTGGTTGAATGGGGATCGAACTCTGTGCTGCAGAGGCTGCAGACAGCTTCATATTACTGCATCTTAACCCCATGTGCCACCAGGGAGGCTCCCAAAGAAGTTTTAATATGAAAAACTATTAAGTATAACAGGGGTCGGGGAACAAGGGATTGGCTAGTCAAAAGTAAAGTGAGGGGCTCCCTGGTGGCACAAGGGGTTAAGACACAGCACTGTGAAGCAATATGCAGGTACTGCATCACCACTTAGATCCCGGCCAGGGGGTTGACCCATATGGTGCAGC